ATATATATATATATATATATATATATATATATATATATATATATATAAAGAGTATGCAATAATTTAAATGTTTAGTTAAAATGACAGTGTAACAAATCAAAGATGCATAAATTTAACACACATAAACATGATTTATGGGGTTCAGCACTATAACTATAAAAGTTTAACTAGAGAAAATGCATTTCCTGTGAAAATGCAGTGCGAATGCTTATTGCAGAAGAACTTGCTGAACAACAGCTGAAAAGAGCTAAAACAACATGATGAAATGTAGCTAAAATGGATGAACAAGTCTAAATTAGCAGACAAAAGCAGGAAGAACACATATTTGCTGAACTGTGTTTAAATAAGCAGATATGAGCACAAAATTAGGAAATTAGCTAAAAAATATCTGAAATTAGCAACAACAAAAAGCTAAAAATTAGCTAAAAGGGTAGAAAGGAGCTTAAACTACCAGAAGGAAGCAGAAAAAGCTGAAATTAGCTTAATAATGTGGAATTAGCTGAAACGGGTAAAATTAGCATAAAAGAAGCTAAATAGTAGCTGAAACAGCAGAAAAAATAAAACTAGCTAAAATAAGCTGAAAATAGTATAACAAGCAGAAATGAACTCAATAGATGTGTCAATCATGCTTTTGATACCTGCTCAGGTAACTAGACAGCAGTGAGGCTGCGAGAACAAACAGCTGTCTCACAACAGAGAGATTTATTTGGAAAAATAAAATAAAACATGACAGAGCACTTCTCATCGCCTCAGCCACCTCATGGAGACCAAACACAGAGAGAGGTGGGTGATGAAGGAGGAAAAGGGATCAGCACGCTGCCTGAATATGTCACCCTCTTTTTAAATCCTAGCAGTTCTCCTATAATACCCCAATTGATGTAAATGACACTGCTACACACACCATACACACGCCGCTCTGCATCTAATTTAGTGCTGCTTCACTGCCAGAGCTGGGACTGGAATGCAAACCAGATTTAATCAGTCAAATTACAGAGACTGCTGATGAGCTGAAGAGGCTATGATTAATCCTTCACCATTAACCAAAGAAATGTTTCACTCCTTTGACCAACAAGTAACCTATCACAAGCTCCCACACAGAAGACATATTTGTAATAGATGTCAAATTCTTGTAATAATAAGACTAATGACAAACTGGAGCCCCAAGATGTCACTTGACCAAGCAAACAGTAAATTCAAGGTGTGATATTATTGAAATGGCTGCCACAGCTGAACGACCTTAAAACATATTGCATGAGATGTTATTTTCAAGGTTTAACCAGAATGTCTATACCTTCCACATTTCAACATTATATAATCTCATGAGAACTTTAGTGTACATATTTTGGACAAAGAAAAGTGATGGTTTAATAAAGAAATCAAAGAAGTCAGAGCAACAAAGGAGGGAGTTTCAAATATTCTCTTTCTCGTAGCGTATTCTTGAACAAACAAGCGTTATGCTGATGACCCCCATTGCTGAGGGATTTAGTGAGTGTTTGCAGTTTTCTAGATGAGTCTTTTTCTAGACTGGAATTGATTAGGGAATGCAAGTTAACCTTAATATTTTTGGTGCAAATTATTCAAGTGCATAGGAGTTACACTGTGCGTAAGATGACAGGTAGGTTTTTATTGTTTGTTTGTTTTTTGTGTGTTTTGCTTGTCCAAGGCAGCGCAGTAATGGATCCTGGTGAATGTATATATATATATATA